TGAGTTTGAGAGATCAAACCCGATGGTTCCAAAGTTATTATGATAACATTTTTTCCTTACGGTCGTATTGTCATCATTATTTTTAGTTATAACTAGGGGTCGTCCCAGGTTACGCACGGATTTTTTATTTACAAATTTATTTGTTATTTTGTCTCTACCACAATTTCATATGGCACAAACAAAAGTTACGTGAGCTCCATGCTCACATAAATAAGCGATGAATCATCAATATAATGTACTCTTTAGTTTTAGAAATATCGATATCCCTTACCTTGAAGAACACTCTTCATGAACTTACTGAACAAATTTTTTAGATATTCTTGGAGCTTTCACATGATTAATGGTGGCATTATCTCTATCAAGATCCACAGAAAATGCGAATGAGTTAATTCCATAAATTCTTCAAGCATGGCAAGATTAGTAAACGAAACATGTACACGTATTAACGCATACTCAATGGTCGTATGAAGTAAGTTATGTTTCATATTTCCTAGCGTTGTGCCTACGTACCTTGTAAGTTGTAACAATTAGTTAAAATATTTATATTATGAATTCAGCAATTATATTTATTCTGTCCGGATAGAGGATCTAGCAGCACCATGATTGAGAAAAAATGGGAGTTTGTTCATTGATGCATTCCAAAATATCAACCCTATGCATTTAGAAGTTTTATTTTAAAGCATTAACACTTTGATCATGAATTTATGATGTTATCGAATGCAATCATTTTCTATCTCTAGCTACGTTTAACTATATGAATTAACCTCTTGTTTCCTGCAAATTAATATCAAATTGAGACCGAGAAACAGTCATATCAAGATAAATACATGTATGTGATAAGTTACAAATCTACCTTATACATAAATGACTATGTTTTAATCCACTAAATACTATCTTGCTTCTATACCACTTACGAACCACAATCCCTTACTTCATACTCTCTTGCACAATGATTTAATATTTCATGGAAGTATCGAGAATTAATGAAGAATGATGCATAAACTGGTAGGAAGAATGCTCATTTCGGCCATCCACAATTCCAGTTGCTTTCAATTACCAAAAATATGGTGTTAATCATTACTATGTAGCCGAATCTGGTTGTTATCCCAACCTGTGAACGAAAACCAATAGTGAACATAATTAAGAAACGATGTCAACTGGTTAGAAATCTTGATCGCAGACCATCAATTTTGAAGATAAGATTCATTCAAAATGAAATTTTAAATGAACATGACAAACCTGTATGAAACAATTAAATAAAAACCTAAACTTCCATGGTTTTGAAATATAATAACTGTGACATTTTGCCTCTGAATTATGTGTACATATAATACAAAAATAAAAATCCAAAGTTCGTACAGTTTGAAAACAGCTCAAGTCAAAGATATTGTTAAAGATGAGAGCTAACTAGAAAAGATTATGAGATTTTCCAGGTATATGAGTGTCACTGATAAGATAACAACAATGTGAATGTTACAATAATTTTTTTGGGTCATTCATAGAAGCCTATTTGAATAGAATTGTTTATATTTCGAAATTGACATTGCCATGGATGAAAAAGAAACAAAAAATCCAAAAGTCCAAAAATTAATGAACGATTAGTTGAGGATGTTCTAATACTCTTCTAATGTGCAAGATTTGGTTGGTCACTGAATGAGCAAAATATTTGTATTACATTAAGCAACATGTGGGTTAGTTTTTGTAAATCATCACATGTTCTGAGTGCAAAGTAAAATCTCCAACTATTTTCACACATATTTATGTCTTCCAATTTCAAAAGTAAAGTATAAGACAAGAGAAGAGAAGATATGTACCTCCTTAAGTGAAGAAGTTAGAGAGATGCGACAGGTGCAACTATTGAGAGGGACGAAATGATCATCTACTCGGATCTGGATTGAACGTAGGGGCAAAAATTAACTGGAATCAAAGGCAGTCTCAAAAGAACATCGACGCTCGAAAATATGAGATTCCGACCGGAAAACTAAACATGCTACATAGAAAGAACAAATAATAGTACAAATCAATTGAAATATGATATGAAGTCTTTTACCTTCAAATCTCAATCCCATCAAGGATTTGAATATCATAACCTCCTAAAAGATAAAGAAAAAAGGAGCTTAGACGACGCTTGAAAGATCTTTTGAACCAGAAAAGCAGCTGAAACAAGAAAGCGTAGTCTTGTTCCTCTTCCGTGGCCGTGAACTCCCCTCCTAAATGTTTGTTAAAATCTCATATAAGGTTGAAAGCTCAACTAAGCATCAACATAAAACCTATAGTTCTATTCATGGAGCCATGGGTGAATATAAAGCTCAAACCTTGGCCAGAGAAACTAAAGCTTTTTCCCTGAGCTCGTCTTTAGGAACAGTCTTTTGAGCAACTTCTTGGATCTTGATACTAACAAAAAATTGCAATCATAAAATCAATGCACATCATTGCCTCTTCTTCTGCCCTGAAAGAAGAAACCCAAAAATCAAAAAAAGGGAAACTATTATTACTTCAATATCATCACTACTCCGTTCATGGACATAGAGAACAAAAGATAGATCAATATGTTTCAACCTTGTGATGATGTGTGATTATTCTCTGAATTTTCTTCGTAGGAGTGCCTCGAGTGTTTAGAAACGCATGTGTAAGCATATATTGAATCTATGTTTTCTTTGTTAAGGTGAAAAGAAAAGGAGAACCGAGTATCTACCATTAGATTGAGTTGGGTTGAAAGAAAGATTTGTGAAAGCTGAGTATTTACTACAGGCTGGGGTAAAGAAGGGAGAAGAAATGATTCGGCTTCGTTTGATTAGAAACGTGTGGGCATCGTGGTATAATTCGATTTGTAGGTTTAAATATCAGTTGGGCCTAAAATATGATGAGGCCTTGTGTGGGCAGAGTTGTAGCGATTTAACCTTGCTGATGTGGCCTTTAAGATTCGGCGATGATATGGCTATATGGCTTAATCTCATTGGCTGATTATTTCTCTGAATATTTTTGCCTACGTGGAGGCCTTAAGAATCTTTAAAATCTTCTCCTTTCATATAAAGGAGATGTTCCCCATCAAATAGTAATTATACCCTTTAAAATTGCTATCCATTTTAAGTAATTTATTATTAAAATAATACTCCCTCCATTTCACAAAAATACTATAAAAACACGTTAGAATACGTCGATTTATTAAAGTTGGTTTACTAACCGAAGTAAATTTTTTTGAAAAGAAGGTATTTAACGTCACATAAATAACCGACTTTAACATGAAGTCATATTTTATGTGTGATATATCATATATGCTTGCAGATGTATCTACGAGGCCCACTAGATACAAAACAAAAATAGATATTTCGTTTAGTTTGACAACTTTACCATTGTTATAAATTTTTTTTCAATTATATCAAACTCGAAATCGTATCACGATTTCTTCCATCACGATGC